AGCAAAAGACATACAGCTCCATGCTCAGCGTAGCATTTCCTGCCCATTAGTTTGTTGACGGTTCTTGTTCTCCCTTCTTGTTTCAAGTGCTTTGGTGGATCCATCCAGTGTTGCTGAAAGAACTGTCAGGAGGAAGGCAGTCAGTTACTGTTGAGGAGCTCTTGTCTCTGACTGCAATTCCCTTGGCACTTACAGTACATCCCTTATATCTGACCTTTTCCCATGTCTTCCTCTTATTGTTAAATTCTAACAATAAGCTGGTGAACTTGGCCTGGGCTTGCTTTTCTTCTTTATCTAGAGCAGCAGTTCTCACAACAACATTTTTGGTGGCCTCAGAGTCCAGCCACCAACTCTCACTGGTGGCCGCACTGACACTTTTTCCCTAAAATACTTACTTAACTTTAGAAAAAACAATATGCACAGATTCACATCCAAATCATTGTAATTTATATTTGTAGGATTTTTTGGCAGACTCAATCACACAAATAATGCTGCCTTCCCCTTCAGCCCCGCCATCCAGGGCTTAATGGGTCCTGGGGCTTGCTTTGACAAGTTATATTTGTATATTTGTTAATATCACAGCACATTTAGTAGCTACCTGGGAGGCTATGAAAAGTGATAAGTGATATTAACAAACATACAAGTATCACTTTTCCACAGATAGCCAGTAAGTCTGCTGTGAAAAGTGATACTTGCATGTTTGTTAATATCACTTTTCTCATCAAACCTCAGGTTCCATTAAGCCTTGGATGGTGGGGGAGGGTGAAAGTGGAGGCAGCAGGGGCCCAGCGGAAATGAGGGAGATGGATGTGAGGCCTGGAAAGCAGCAGGGGCCAGGGGCGATGGAGGTGGGTAATGACCACTGTCGCGTGATCAGAACCAGGACCTGGTATCTGCTACCATGCAGGGCTCAGTGCCTGCAGCGAGAACCTAGAGCTGGGGACAGGAACTGCGTGGGTGGAGCCAGGGATCGGAGCCTGCTGCCGTGCAGCCAGAGCTGTGGGTGGGTCCCTGCTGCCATTCATCTGGGATAGGGGATCGATGCCAGGGACTGGGGCTGCATGGCCAGAGCTGTGGGCGGCGCCTGCTGCCGTGCAGCTGGGGCAGGGGATCAGCACCAGGGGCTAGGGCCACATGGTTGGAGCCCGGGGCCGCTACCACATGGCTGGAACTGGGCCAGAGGCTGACTGAAGCTCCATGGCTGGAGCCAATGGCCAGCACCTGCTGCCCGCAGCCAAAGCCCCCTGGTTGGAGCCCACTGCCGTGCAGCTGAGGCTGGAGGTTGGCACCTTTGGCCAGTGCCTGCCACTGTGTGGCCAGAGCCTGGGACTGGAGCCGGAAGCCTGCGCTTTCTGCCACACAGCTGAAACCAGGGGCCGGAGGCTAAAGCCCTGCAGCTGGAGGCCAGGGCCGCATGGCTAGAGCTGGGAGTGCTGGAGCCTGCCGCCCAAACCCCATCGCTCCAACGTGGGTCAAGAACTCACCTTGCTCCTGCAGTGTTGTGCCCCACCTCTCTCCTAGTGCATCCAGGAGCAACAAGGAGGAAGAGGGAGAGGCTGATGCTTCCCGTCCCTCCCCCATCACCACCCAGGAAGCTGTCATGGCTGCACAAAAAGCCCCGGTTGGCTGCATGTGGGCACATTTTAGAAATATTGATCTACAGCAGGGGTGGGCAAACTTTTTGGCCTGAGGGCCACATCGGGATATGGAAATTGTATGGCGGGCCATGAATGCTCACGAAATTGGGGGTAAGGGTGAGGGCTCTGGCTGGGAGTGCAGGCTCTGGGGTGGGGCCAGAAATGAAGAGTTCAGTGTGCGGGTGGGGACACCGGGTTGGGGTGCAGGGGGGTGAGGGGTTTGGGGTGCAGGAGGGGGCTCCAGGCTGGGAGCAAGGGGTTTGGAGAGCGGGAGTGGGATCAGGGCTGGGGCAGGGGGTTGGAGTACGGGGGAGGGGTTTGAGGGCTCTGTGGTGGGGCCGAGGTGAGGGGTTTGTGGTGCAGGAGGGTGCTCTGGGCTGAGACCAATGTGTTCAGCAGGCAGGAGGGGGATCAGGGATGGGGCAGGCTGTTGGGGCATTGTGGCGGGGGGCTGGGGGTGCGGGCTCTGGGGTGGGGCTGGGGATGAGGGGCTTGTGGTACAAGGGGCTCTGGGCTGGGATCGAGGAGTTTGGAGGGTGGGAGGGGGATCAGGGCTATGTCAGGGGGTTGGGGCATGGGGGAGCTCAGGGGTTCAGGCTCTGGGCGGTGCTTACCGCAAGCAGCTCCCAGAAGCATATCCGCTCTCCGACCCCGAGGCACGTCCAGGTGGCTCTACGCTCTGCCCCGTCCACAGGTGCCACCCCTGCAGCTCCCATTGGCTGGGAACCACGGTCAATGGGAGCTGCAAGGGCGGTGCCTGCAGACGGGGCAGTGTGCAGAGCCGCCTGGCCACGCCTTCGTGTACTACAGAGGAGCCAGAGGGGGGTCATGCTGGCTGCTTCTTGGGAGCTACACAGAGCAGGGCAAACCCTCGACCCCTCTCCCTGGTGAGAGCTGAGGGCCAGATTAAATGGTCTGATGGGCTGGATGTGGCCTGCAGGCCATAGTTTGCGCCTACCCCGATCTAGAGTTTGGTATAATGAATGATGGTAGTGACAAAGGCAAACCCATTATTCTTGGTCCTCCTGGTGGGGACAGCAGTGCATCACCTTTGTGACATGTGAGAATCTGATTCTGTTCTGGGCTCCTAAACCTCAGATAGACCTGAAATTGTAGGGCACACAAGGCTAAATTGATATGAGGATCCTTTATTACCTAATAGCAGTGACCCCTTTGTTTTTGGCTAGATTTCAAACAAGTTTTTCCTTTTTTTTATGTGAAAGGGCAGTGACTACAAGGCAGGTTCATCAGAGTAGCAGATGTAAGATGGGAAGATACTAAAGGTTGCAGGGAAACACTTCAGAGACCACCTGATTATTAAAATAATTTTAAAAATGACCTAAGCATTACTAGAGCATGATCCCTAGAGAAGTTGGCTCTAATGAAAAGGACCATCAGGTAAATCTCAGCAGTACCCCTAAAGGAGAATAGGCACTTGAAAAAGTGTTACTCTGCTCTTTAAAATATTAAATCAACATGCTTTACATTTTAAAAAGAGTTAAACTTTCTGTTTTATAGTTATAGTATGTAATAGCTAAATAGTAATGTACTTTAGCCAATCTCCAGATTTGTCTCTAACCAGATGATCTTTTGGATGTGTCCACATGTAATTCTGAAATCTTGTTTTGAAAATGGAATAAAAGGCATTTTTTAAAAAAATTGTTATTGTCATACCTTGCTTCCCTTTCTAGGCATCACCCCAGTATCACAGAAAGTTCTTTTCTTCTTTTTAAGTCTGGGTTTATTCAGTTACAATATAGCCAATTCCTTATTCACCATTTGTTTCCTTGAAGGCAATAATATACAGCAGCATAGAACTTACAGTATTTGTATAGCCTAGGGCAGTGGTGTTCTAGTGTAAGTGGGGGTAGCTAACGTGTCCTTCACCCTCAAAAACAATCCTTTTATGATGAGACAGCAGTAGGAAAAGGAAACACGGCTTCATCCAAAGTGAATCATTTAGTATTTGATGCTGGAGAACAAAATGGTCAAATCTATAAGAATTCACCCTCAAAAGAAATCCTGTGTGTTTATATATTTTTTTTCCACAGAGCAAACTTAAAACAGTTATTCTGGTTTTTTTCCCACCTGGTCCATTCAGATTCTGTGTATCATTTACTTTTCACTTTCATGAATTATTTCCTCCTCATTCGGCAGAGCAGTTGGCAAAGTGCCTTCTCTCCCTGTATTGACATTATTATTTTTTTTTAAAAAAGGGTATTTAGAGAGGAGGAAGCTAAAGCAATCCAGTACCCAGCACTGCTGGATTTCTAGGTTGTATTTCCAAACAGTATTGGTGAATCACTTCTTCGTAATAGGATCCCAGGTGCTCCTTAAAGGACATAATCCATAGCTATAGAATTGTCTATACAGTAGTAAAGAATCCTGTTTTTAAGAGTTTAGGAAAACTAGCATACTAGGGTTAAGCCTGTGAATAGGGAGAATGCTGTGTAAATTGTAAATGCCTATAAATGTTAGATGGGTTGGGGGTTGATTAACATTTATGGCTTTCTCTCAAAAAGTCTGATCATGAGACTTGCTGAGTGTCTCATGCAGGTTCAGGCCCAAATTGCCACACTGAAATTTCTGACAGACAGACCTACTGCTGTTGAGCAAAAGCAGCATCTGCAAACAACTCTCTTTCCTCATTTCTCTCCCATTTGTGTCCATTCTCTCCTTGGGACATGACTGACTGTACTTTCCTTCTTATGTTGTAAATCTGTCTGTTACCACAGTAACACTCTCTGTGTGTGCTGTCTCTTGACTCTACCTTTGTTGAATTCTTTTTCCATGTCTTCATCACTCTGTGCTGTGACTACTGAAGTTCATTGCTCTAGGGCTTCCCCAAGTCCCAGCTGTCCAAATTCTAGCATGTACTGCTACCTGTCTTCTCACACAATGAAAAGTAACCTCATCACTGACCTCACACTCTCAGAATTATCCACATGGGTCCAGTTTGATATTATCCTCCTTGTGTTTAAAACCACAAGCAGACCTGCTCCAGCCTGCCTCACAGACCTTGTCCGTCTTGGCACTGGCCTCCTCTCTGTCTCTTCAGGTAGTGTTATAACTGTTGGTGCAAAAGCCTTTACCTCTGCAGCTCCTGCCATTGCCAATGACTTGCCTATATCTATCTACCTAATTGACTCCCAATCTTGCTTAAAAATATATTCCCTTAATTCCTCTTCCTATTGTTTTAGACCTGTAGCTCTATTATTGAACTTTGTAAAGCATTTGGCATACAATTTTTGTATGAAAGAGGCTAGATAATAACTTTATCGTATTAAAATAAGCTCTTACTGTTAAAATCCATCACAATGTTAAACTTCTCTCTTACTGTGGTTTTTCTTAATTGACTCTTAGAATTTGGAATGGTCTCCCTGATATTTTCTGCAGCACTAGCCTACTTCCCATCACGCCCTCCATTTCCTCCCAGTGTGGCTGCAGCTAGTCAGCGGCTCAGCTATAGGAGAAGTTTTTGTAGGCTATTAAGGTAGGTTCTCTTTGGGACAGCTTGGGTTTACAGTTCAAAGCCAATTCACCTTTTTTTAAACCTACATTTAAAAAGCAAAACAACAGAATATGTGCTTTAATCTTCTCACTGAAGAACAAGCAAGTTAATTTGTAGTGCTTTGTAATCAAATTAAATATTAATACATAGACATGAAAGAACACTAGATGTTAAAAAGTGGAGTCATTAAATATTAACTATTTTCAAAAATATTGCAAACCACATATCAGAGTCACTCAGCATCAACACTGTTGTGGTCTTGTTAACACAGCCTCTAAATAATAATTTTGTTACAATGAAATTAAATTACAAGACAATTAAAGGGATGTATACTGTAAAGTGTTGAGGTAATTTAACATTGTGAATAACTGAGCATTAAATTGTTTTCTTTATTTTCAGTGCTCTTAAGCTGCCAACATTGCTCTTTATGTTGTGTAACTTGGGGTCTATTTCCCCATTCAAATGTGAGCCCCACAGCCCTTGCTATGATGAGAGAAGTACACAAATGCATCTAAGGCAGAATTTGTCCTATTGTGTCCAGTTAATTGTGTATGGTGTTAAAATGCAAAATGGGGGAATGGAAAATAAGTCATATTGCTGGGCAAGGTCTCAAATTAAACATTTTTGGTGTTTTTTTAACTTTGTTATGAAGAAAATGTCCTAATGCTGCTTCCTTTCTCCCACCCTTTGTCTGTGTGTATATAAACTGTAAACTCTTCATTGCAGGGACCATTTCTTTCTATGTGCTCATATTGCACCTAACACAACGGCATCCTGATATCAGATGGGTCCTCTCGGCACTGCTGTAATACAAATAATAAGTAATATTAAAGGCCTGGATCCCGTAACTGATAGCGCAAAAGAGAACTGTTATGCTCATGCACGGTCCAGTTGACTTCAGTGGAGCTCTGCTCATATGCAGCAGTCTACCACCAGGCTGTCAGTAGCAGGAATAGAATCAGTGTGTAAAAGGGACTATCTAGGATGGAATATTTGTGAAGCTTTTTTACTAAGCAATTATTAGAGAGCAATAAAATCACACTTGTCATAGACTCTCTGCCTTCTTTACTTGTATTTAAAGCCTGCAAAAATTATTTCTCTCTTCTTCTTGTTTTTAGGGAAATCATTTCCAATCAGAAATGCTCAATTTCTGCTGTTTGGAACCTGGCTAAGGCTATGTCCAAACTGCAGTTAGACATCCATGGCTGACCTGTGTCAGCTAACTTGGGCTCATGAGGCTTGGGCTAAGGGGCTGTTTAATTGCAGTGTAGACATTTTGGCTCAGGCTGGAGTCTGGGCTCTGGGACTCTTCCACCTCACAGGGTCCTAGAGTCTGGGCTCCAGCCTGAGCCCAAATGTCTATACTGCAATTAAACAGCCCCTTAGCCTGAGCTCCACCAGCCCGAGTCAGCTGACACAGGCCAGGCAGGTTTTTAATTGCAGTGTAGACATACTGTGTTACCAGAAGGTGCAAGGCAAGATAATCACCAAAGTGTGTCCTTTCTGGAGAAGGTTGGCAGTGAGGAAGGAAAAGGTGAGAACAGAATTGGTCAGTTAATCTGTAACGTGACCTACTTGAGGTATTAAAAAATAGCAGTTCCCTTGAGGGCACTGAGCATACTTATTAATGCTGCATTATGAGCCTAAACTGCTATGGGGAGAAATCCTGCCTGAGGGATGAGTTCTAAAAACGTTACTGTCAAATAAAAACCCAAACAACAACTGACTCTGCAGGTGAAATATAAAATTTCTGTTGACAGTACTCCATTTGGGAGCCTTGTAACTAATTGGTTGTACACAGTACAGTAAACACTGGATCTGGGATACTTGTAGTGTCAGCTAGCGAACTGCAAAACTCTGAATTACCAATTCACTAAACCTTTCTTAATAAAAAATATCTTGCAGTTAAATAGTGAACTTATTTCTGCTTTAACACATCACTTTCAAGAGTCGGGTTTGTCTATTGCTATTAAGTAAATGTATCTTCCTCCCCTTATACATTCTTCCATGCTGTCCCTTCCACAAGGCACTCTTTCTTCCTTTGCACACCAAACAATCGCCATCTCATCATTCAAAACACAATTCTCTTGGGGAGCCTTTCATCAATAATCCATCAAAGAAGAAGGATTTATAAAAGTACGGAATCTGCTATGCTGTGAGAGAGATCCATCATCGGTGGTGTTAGACATCAAACCGTGTCTGTCTAATCTACATTTTGTAGTCTTTGAGACGGGGACTATTTCTTCTGACAGAGCTGTGTAAATTAGGGAGCAGTTGATGAACACTGGAGAATCCTGACTCCCTGGATTACAGAGTTAGGGTCCCTATTTTGAGATTGCCTTCATATGTTGCTGATATACATATCTGTATTTGATACAGGTTAGCCTGTGGGCTAACTCACAAATCCATACACCAAAAAACACTTCAGCCATTAGTTTGTATCATTTTCTTCTGGGCTTCAGTTTTATTTCTTCAAAATAAAACTGTTTAACACAAGTTCAACACCTCAGTCATGTCCTTTAACTCTGATGTACTGTCTTCTTCAGGAACCTGTGTACTCCTTGCAACCCACCTTCTTGGAATCACGGTGAGCCTCTCTGCTCCCTTCTCCTTTGTAGTCTGCTCCCTGCAGCATTACACTCCACAAGCCATCTACCTAGGAGTCACATATGATCTGGGTTCTTTCCCCTGACATGAGGACTCCTCCAGGAGCCGACCTACTCTCTTCGCTCTCACTAATAAGTGAGTTTCTTGCTGACTCTTATGGAGGCAAGGTGATCTTCAAGCAACCACTTGATCCCAGTCTCACAACATCAGCTCAGAGGCAACTGAATATTCACATATGGCGGCTCAACTCAACTCACTTAATGGGCCACCAGTCTTGTTACAATACCCTAGTCAAGACTGGAATAAATACCCTTTTATTAGCTCCTTAGTTTAGCAATTTTTTTTTTACCCTGAAACAGTACATACAGTGCTTCAGTAGAAAAAAAAAATTCCAGTACCTGCAAATAGTTTAAAATATTTATGTTTCAAATTAACAATAATATATTTAGTTTTAAAGCAGCTTGAAAGTATTAGCCAGTTATATACATTTAATATTTTGGGGAACCTAAGTAAACTATTCTAAAGCTCATAAAACTAAGGACTCTGTGTATCTATCGCTCCTTTATGAACTAGAAGTCATAGTTTCACATGACATCTCCATCCAGAAAGGAGGTTACAGAATAAGCTTGGTGCTAAATAGACATTGCCAAGGTTATTGCTAGGAAGCTGATTGTCTTTGACAGGGCTCCCATCTGAACAGTCTTGCCTTATGGAGTATAGTAGTGTGCAATAGGTTTTTTTTTTTTTTTTTTTTAAAGGTGATCCATATTCCAGCAGAAAGTTTTAATAAAAAAAGGTTGATGCTAACTTTCCTATCATAGGCACATATATATTATGATGGGAAAGAGTGTGGATGCAGTGGTTGATAGTGTGACAGGCAGCAACACGCTTGTTTTTTCAGTAAAATTTTTGGATGGAGTAATTGCAAAGATAAATATGCATAGTCAGATTTTTGGCTATCTTCGCCTTTTCATTACCCCCTGATGCTGGGGCTGCTGAAAACAGAGCCAAGTATATGTTAAAGTAGCCCAAAGGCTGCTGCAACTCATATTGTCTATTAATAGGTCCAAGGAGACAAAATGACAGCTTAAGATTGGCATAACATAAGATTGCCCCAGCTATGCACTCTTTTCTCTCCTCAAGTCCCTGACGCTGGTACAGGGGGTGGCATAGGTACCTGTCATCAGAGGAGCCCCTTTCATAGATGTGATTCTCATGGGCTGGATACAGCAGCTTATGGCCAGAATCCATTGGCAAAATAGCCATACCACAGCCGAGGAGCTGATTCATAGCCAAAAGTCTAGAAAAGGCAAGATGTTCCAGATGAGACCACCGTCAAGGTAGGTTACAACTTAACCTCCCCTGTTAATGTCTCTTTTCAGTATAGAAGGAAGACTAGATATGCAATCATGTACCCAGAATTTGTGACTATTTGACAAACAGTATTTTGGAACAAGTTCTGTCCCTTCTTTAGAAAGTGCCCAAACAGGTAGAACATTTTCCATATTGTATTTTATTCTGCAAACATTGACAGACCTTCCAAATGTGAAATAATTTTGGAAAATAGCAGCACTGAGTACAAAAGGCAATCTGCCCTCTTAGACTTCCAAGATTGCACAAGGTAGACCAGAGTCAAGGAGGAGAGAGTGGGCCTAGTAAATGACAGACGAATGATGGTAGAAAACACTGTAAATGCATCCTTAAAATTGTAATGAGAACATGAAATAACCTTACTCCTGTGTTTAGGCTTTCTTTGCACTGTTTTATTAGAAGGAAACTGACAAATGGTATTGGGAGAAGGCCATGTTTATGTAATGTAGTTGCTTTGCTCGAGAAGAGGCTGTGTGAAAGAAAAAGGGCTCCAGGTAAACATTGGCTATGTTCTTCAGATCTTCTCATGGAATAAAACAAACATGACCTCTGAAATTCTGAACATTTCAGCGAATATTCTAAGATCTTTTCCTCAGCTTCAATAATTGTGTGAACTACCAAATTATCCCTTCATTTCTAGGGAACTGGTGCTGATCAATTTCAGTCCCATGGAACCTGCTTTGAGGGAGGCCTTTTTTTGGTTACATGAACATCCTTTGGGTAACTACCTTGGACAGAGCCCTAAAAGTAAGCAATAAAATAAACACCATCCAAACCTTAGTTAGAAATACTAGGGTTGCTGAATGTAAAGACACCATTTTCTATCTTCCTCTTTATTCCAAAACCGGAATACTTTATATGGAGAGCAAGCTGCCTCAGCAGAGGTTTTGTGTGTGCTGTCAGTTACAGTAATGCTGTTGCTTTAGGTGATTGTTTTAGGACTCGTCTTGTCAGCTCCGGTTTAACTTTTTAGGGTGCAGATGGTGACAAACCTTTTATTGTTTCACCTTCAGTGAACAGTGAAGGTGAATCTATTTAACTGAAAAAAATCCTGATTTCTTTAGAACAGATTCTTAGACTTGTGTGTGTGTGTCTCTCTCTCTCTCTCCACCACTTTTTATGGTTTAAATTGCTGTTGTTTTCCACTCTTGCTACTGTTCCCCTCTCCCTCGTCCCCAAAGAAAGAAAAAGGTATTAAGTACTATTAATTGAATAATATGTGTAGACTTATTCAGAGTATAGGGTATTTGAACTGGAGGCCTGTTTCACCAATAATGTTGACAGTCATTTTGTCTCCCTGAGGCAATGATTCTGGGTTCTAAGTTTGCACATTGTTGGTTCTCATTCTTGCCTGACGTTTCAGCATTCTTCTTTCTGTTATCTTCCTTGAAAGTTGAGTAAATGGCATTGACTTGTATCCAGATAGATACCCAGTCTCTTTCAAGACTACCATGAGTGCTTCTTACAGTTACTCTCTTCCACTGGTTGGTTTAGAGGATCTTGTTAACTATAACTCCGTTTGTCTCCCCCACACACCTAATGTGAATAGTTCACAAACACTGGGTTAGAATCGTAGGACTGGAAGAACCCTTGAGAGGCCATCTAGTCCAGTCCCTTGCACTCATGGCAGGACTAAGTATTATCTAACCCATTCATGATAGGTGTTTGACTAACCTGCTCTTAAAAATCTCCAATGATGGAGATTCCACAACCTCCCTAGGTAATTTATTCCAGTGCTTAACCACCCTGAGAAGTTTTTCAAGCTAAACCGCCCTTGCTGCAATTTAAGCCCATTTCTTCTTGTCCTGTCGTCAGAGGTTAAGGAGAACAGTTCTCCTTTTTCCTTCTAACAACCTTTTATGTACTTGAAAACTGTTATCATGTCCCCTCTCAGTCTTTTTTTCTCCATACTAAACCAACCCAGTTTTTTCAGTCTTCCCTCATAGGTCATGTTTTCTAGACCTTTAATCATTTTTGTTGCTCTTCTCTGGACTTTCTCCGATTTGACCTCATCTTTCATGAAATGTGGTGCCCAGAACTGGACACAATACTCCAGTTGAGACCTAATCAGCGTGGAGTAGAGCGGAAGAATTATTTCTCCTGTCTTGCTTACAACACTGCTGCTAATACATCCCAGAATGATGTTTGCTTCTTTTGCAACAGTGTTACACTGTTGACTCATATTTAAATTGTGGTCCACTATGACCCCCAGATCCCTTTCCGCAGTACTCCTTCCTAGGCAGTCATTTCCCATTTTGTATGTGTGCAACTGATTGTTCCTTCCTAAGTGGAGTACTTTGTGTTTGTCCTTATTGAATATGAGGAACATATGAATAAGTTCTGAAAAGTTTATTACTTACAATATTGAGTTTTTCACTGTACTTTTCTATGATGCTTCTACAGAAAATGGGAACAGCAACATTTAAACAAGTGGGGATTTCAAATAACAGGACTATATTCCAAATACATTCATAGGAGGAAAGGTGTTCTACTGCTGAGCCAGGATTCTTGGGTTCTGTTCCTCGTTCTGCTGTGAACTCACTGTCACCTTGGGGGAAAGGTCACTGAAGGCATATTTTCAAATAAAAGCACCTAAATTGTGCCAACACAATACATGTGCACAAGCAAAATAAGGCAATTTGTTTAAAATATGTATTTACATGTGCAAAAATGGCTAATTATACATACAACCAGTTTCTGCCTCAAAATTATTTATGTGCACAGTTTTCTTTTACATGTGCATATTTTATGAGTTTAGCTTGGGCTCTTATTATGAAAACATGGAAAAATACTTACGTAGTTTACAGAGAGGTTTGTTTGCCGGAGTGCTTTGAGATCCTTGCATAAACGTTCCAATATAATTGTAAATTGTTGTTTATGTTCTGCATGAGTATGCCAAAGAGTTGGATTATAATATTTTTATGTTTTTGGTTAAGTAGAAAATAAGTTTTACGAAAATAAATTTGTGATGTGTAGTGCAAGTGACAAGCTGGTAGGGCCAGGAGAGAATGCAGTAAATTTCCTTTTCTCAGCGAAAACAAACAGCAAGAGTAGCTTGAAGAATCTGAATCTGAATTTATACATGAAATATGCTTTTGTCGGACTGAATTTATGCTTATTGGTTTTTAATATGTTAACACTGCATAGACTGTCAATGTAATCAAATAGCATAACAAACTGAATTTCTTGTGAAGACAAGGAAAGTCTGAGAGCCTAGCAGGTTCCAGAAATCAAGAAGGTGCCATTGATACGTACATAGTAAATGCTTTTTCTTTAATAACATGGTGCCAGGCAGTAACATTTCAGCACTTGGAATTTCAGTGAAATAGCCAAATACTATACTTGTTTTTTCTGACTCACTCTTTAGGTTTCTACTTTTCTGCTTAATGGGTGGAATATAGATTCTAGGGTACAATTTACTCTTGAAGTTAATCTGAGCCATTTCTAATACAAACAGCAGCTAACTGCATATATGTTGTCTTCACAGCAATTTCCGGTTTTTGATGCTTGCATTAGCCTATGCTATACCGCTGGGTGTTTTCGCGGGCTGGTCTGGCGTTCTGGACTTGATATTAACACCAGTTCATGTCAGCCAAGTAAGTATTTACATGCAGCAGCTGCTCTATTTCATAGGTATTTTGTTAGATTTGTAATGGTGTTTGAGCTGATGTACGTATTCCCTACCTTAGTTTTTCTCACTGTTTTCTGGAACTATCAATATATACGCACCACTTCACTACTGAAACATAAAACAAAACAAACTTTTAGCATTGACATCACCAAAAGTTATTGTGGCTCCCCCTGCTGAGTCTACAGTGGCAGTTCATATTTTCAGAGCTCTACGCACCTATTGATGTTAAAGAGGCAAATAAATAAAAGGGAGTAGTGTTGGCTGCTGTACCTTCACAAATAGAGAAGGAAAAGAAAATCAATGTTTGCCAAATTGAAAGGAAAAAATCAGTAGAGAGAGATTTTTATTTTTAAGCTTCTAATAGGGTATTATAGAAATCCAGATGACATTCCCCAGCAGATTCCAATATAAAGAGAGGTCACATTTGGGGCATATACTGTTTGACCATATCCTTTTAAGTAAATTATATTCCCTTTGAGTTTCTTAGAAAAGTCAGTCAGTTTTTTTGCTAGGATTTTTCAGTAACCCTCCCTTCCCCCATCTCCTTTTTTAAAGTAGCATCTTGTTTTCTCAGCCTTAACACTTTCATTTCCCCATGCCGTTTCCCATCAGGTAGATGCGGGCTGGATTGGATTTTGGTCCATAATTGGAGGCTGTGTTGTTGGCATAGCAATGGCAAGGTAGGAATAATGATCTCTCCTTCAGTTCTTCATTTTTCTTCAGCTATAATGATCACTCAGGTTTTTAAGACTATAAATTGAATTTATTTCTGATCATTAGTGAAATATTTGAAATGGCAAATGTGACTCTCCAAGATGATGTATTGTTTCTTTTTGTACAGTAATTTGTATATTTCATGTTATTGGACTACATGGGTTGAAAAGCCATTTGCTCACTCATCAAGTTTAAGAAGTCATATTGTTATGTCTGAGACGGCTTCCCATCCGGTCCTTTTCAGGGTAGCCTTGTAAGAAGGAGGCTGCCTGATCTTGGGAAGAACCAATTTAGCACCTCTGAAAAGCATCAGAGAACATCAGTGTCTATTTCCTGCCGATGCCTGTCTAGCAATCTAATCCACTGAGTGTTTGATGCTGAGAATACAACACACTTCCCACATACGTGGACACAGAATGCTCCTAGCATCTCTCCTCTTTACCACCATGGGTATGGAGTGACACTCCCCACCAACCATCTGAGAAGATGTGGATTTATGAGTGAAAAAGTGAGAAAAGGAATGCCCTTCCCAAATCAAGCTACCAGACTCTTTCCATCCAAGCTTTGTTTAAAAAAAAAAACAAAAACCACCACCTTCCTTGAGGCCTTTGATAACTTAAGTTAATAAAAAATAGAAAATCACTACATTACACTCATCTCTGGATTTCCCAGTACAATTCTGTCTTCTTTCTATTCACTACCGAGGCTCTGATTCTGCAATGAATGCTGCATGGGTGCAGGAGTCTGTCTGCACAGAGGTCATTGCAGGATTGGGACCCAAAACTGTAATAAGCTCTTTTGGGGCAGAGATTATTGTCTACTTGTACTGTACAACAACAATGTGTATAACTAATAAATAACAAACTATATGTTCAAACTAGATAAGTTCATGGAGGATAGTCCACCAATAGTTATTAGCCAGGATGGTTGGGGATGGTGTCCCTAGCCTCTGTTTGCCAGAAACTGGGAATGTGTGACAGGGTGGATCACTTGATGATTACCTGTTCTGTTCATTCCCTCTGGGGCACCTGCTGTTGGCCACTGTCAGAAGACAGGATACTGGGCTAGATGGACCTTTGGTCTGACCCAGTGTGGCTGCTTTTATTGGGTTTCTCCTCTTGCTACCTCTTATTCCACTTAACAGCTAGAAAGGAGGAAGAGGGAAAGCTCCCCCAAAGCCATGGAAAAAGGAAAAAGACATTTGAGCTCCCCCACCACAGTACTCCAAATGCTAACTAGCCAAAGAGCTTAATCCTACTAATCAAGGGACATAATCCAATTGGATCCCTGCAGAGGACCAATTGTTAGCTATTGCTAGATTTGTCTATGACTTGTTTTTCTCCATAGGGAAAAGTTTAAAGCCCTCCTGGCACTGTAAAAGTAGTGTTTGGTAAATAACGACCTATTAACATATGTCCATGCAGCAAAAGCAGTATGATGGAAAAACTAGTGTGAATACTCATGCAGAATTCTCTCTCATATGGGCTAGCCTTTGCTACTGCAGTTGAGGCCCTTGAACACTAGAGGGGCACCCTTTCTAGCCTTAAGCTTCTCTAGCAAGAACTTGCTGATTCAGACCCATAATGCAAATCTCAGCCTTTATGGTAAATTAATTTATTTAATATATAGCCTAGTTTTAGTTTCAGAAAATGCTTAATGCCTCTGTAACTGCTGCAAAATTGACTGCAAACTTTATAGCAAGGTCAGTATTTTGCAGAGTTCAAAACTTTGCTTTTGAGTAAATTAAAAGAATGCTAATAATCTGTTTCCAAATATGTCTCTGCAATTCAGGCAATATATAGTTCAAACAGTAGCGTTTGCACACACACAAAAAGTGGGCAAGGGTGATTTGTCATTTCTGATAGATGATTCCCTCCTCTTAGGCCTGTTCAGCAGGTATCTATGTAGGATTGAACCAATGATGACTGACTGTAATCTGCTGAAAGTTATAATTAGGAAAAGTAGGTAATGATTCTTGTCAAGTATGACAAGCTGATGTATTTCAATGTCAAGACTGTGACTTATCAGGCAAGGAGCTCTCTCTCTCTTAACAGCCTGTGGTAAGGTGGTTTTTGGTTTTGGGGGGGTTTTTTGTTCTACCAGCTGCTAATTTGTAAAACCAAAAATGTTACAATTTAAGAATGATAGTGTTGTTTTACTTTATTCTCCTCAAACCATAAAGTCTAGATAAAATTTTACCCTTTCGTGAAGATGATTTAATTCTTTAACTGCACATAAAGGGCCTGTTTTTTCAAACTTGGCTTCAGTTTTTGATGACGCAAATGCAACCATGTAGATATCTTAACCGCTTGCTGCCTGCAATGGTAGCATTTGTGCCTGCAATTCACTGTGGGTATTAAATTGTGCCCCTTCAAAAGGAAGGCGGATATTGAAAATCAGGACCCAAATCACTTTATTTTGCTTTTGGTGGTATGAGGAGTTTTTCTCCACAAGGTATATAAATAAATCCCACTTCTCTCTACTCCCCCACAATCCTGAACTAGACATGTTTGGTTAATTTGTGTGATGCATTTTAACGATGGAAAAGTCTGGGATATTTTGGGCAATTGGCAGATGTTGTACCCTTTGCTGGCAGAGGTAGAATGAGACTGGTTTGAAGCATATCAACTTTAAAGAGTGACATTCATGTTTTATTATCATGCTGAAACATAAATCTATCTCCTTTTTCCCCCAGAATTTTTCTTGTCACGTTTGCTAATGATCACAGATATTTCTGGATTTTTGTCCTTCACAGCCCAGCATTTCCTTCTGCTTTTATCCTGCAGTGATGTCAAAATGCTGAAATGTTGTGACTTGGTGATAATTTCCCTAGCAACAGACTTTTCTCAGCACCATACATTTAGGCTTTAACTGCAGGATCCAGCACAGGTGGATTTGCTTGGTCATGAAAGATAATGCCACAAGCACAGGGCACAGTGATATGTCTTGACCCCATTACAGGCGGATACTCACCTACTATCCTGGACTACCTCTTCTTTAGTACATGCACACATCCACCGTAAGTGCTGGTTTGGGATAATAGATTATGGTAGAATATGAAGTTGTGGGTGCAGGGTGGTGTTGGTGTGTTGCTGCATGGTTGCAAGTGACAGAGCTGCTGAGACTGGGGAACAAAAATTTTCTTTCTGATCGTTGGAGTGAAACTAGTGCTCTGAAAAGTTTACAGATCTTGCAAGCATTTTTACTAGTCATACTGAGTTCACCAGAGGTGAAATACAGGCCCTTAAAGGACTGAGTATGACCTATTTGTTATGTTTTTTCCATTTTTGTTTAATTCAACAGTTTTGTGAAACTTAGAGCCAAATAAGGGGCAAATGTCAACTTTAACTTCCAGCAAAATCTTAGATGCCTGTTACTGCTAATTTCAACAGCAGCTTATCTTTCTATATTAAAACACAGCTGCAACTGCTCAGTACAGTAAAGTGGAGAAAATATCTGACTCCATTATCTTTCCCCATCCTCCCACCTCCAATCTGATATTTCATCCACTTTTTTTATTATGCAGCATATGTAGCCCCGCTCAGCTTTAGAAATGGACTTCTGATGTTGACAGCAAAATAACCCCTCGGACTTTGCTCCATGGGACAAATATGAAGTTCATGTTTTGTGACACTTCTGAGAAGTTTCACATAATTAGTTAATGTTTAATGACAAAAATACAGAAAAAAATGAATAAATAAACTGACTCCTGTGATTTTAAAGTTGGGTCAATCTGATTACTTTCTTCTTCCCCACTTCAAATCCAGCATCAACAGCTAAACTTCTGCAGTTAGAAGTTAATACTCTATGCCATTTGAAAGCTGGGATTACAAGCTTTAAGGTGATATACAGCATTGATTCTAGCTCTACCAGTTATTGACTTCTAAGTTCAGTGCGGAATTGAAATAGAGGGAAGGACAGAATAAGAGGAAAGATGTGGTCTTAAGATCCAATATTTCATAAAACTCCCATGCTAGATAAACTGTTAACCATTACTTATTGGTGGCATTCCCAACTTTCAAGCTGTATATAGTGTTACCTTTTATATCAGGCCATGGAGGATTGGACTTTAAAATACCCACCTATCTCTTTTTTTAGCAGGGGAAAATAAGGCAATTAGTAGACAAGTTAGAATGTCTTCATAATTCCAAACTTCCTGGACCACACTACCCCAATCCAACAGGAGGAGAAAAACTGATCCATGAGGGGAGAAGTTCTTCAGACATAACTTAAATAATAGCAAGGGAACTACAAAAAATTACTAGCAAATTGAATAACATCTCTCTCTCTCTCTCTCTCCAGTGTTTTTTCTAAGTTTGCACCAGTGTTAAAATCCCTTTTGAAAAGAGCAGTTGCAGTACTAATTGTGTTGTGGGTTCAGTGCTCAGCTGGATTGTTGTTTTTTTTAAATAAATGCAAAAGGTGCAAAAAAAATTGACTACCCCAGCAATCAATAGTTCTTACTTAGTTTTGTGTCCAGGTGCAAGGGTTTCTGCTTGCCCTGTTTACTGAGACCTTCATCATTGATTCATTTGGGTTTACAAGACCCAACTTACCCTCTTGTTATACCGAGCATATTGTTCTTTATTACAATGACTTCATAGTGATATTAGTATTGGGGATTTGAGAATAACCAGAAAGGTTTGAGTTTTTCCACAAAAATGGATCCTAGCTCTTCAGTCTAGCTTGAATGAAATAAATACATATTTACGCTTGCACATAAGCAAGCAAGTCACCCTAAACTAATTGATCAATGCACCCTCAAGTCTAAATGCCACTGACTGGCAAGCAGCCATGTAAGTAAGGATGTGATTTTGTTCCGAGAGAGATCTGCTTTGGGGGAAAAAAATTAAAATTTCCTCATATGTTTAGCTGCTGAAAACACCATGTGAACTATCTTTTAAGTTTCCCTTGTAAATATCCAAAGTGAGACAGTGTTCCCAATGGCTGAATTGTTTTGAATTATTATTATTATTATTATTCATTTTTATTTGAATTACTGTCCTGTTCAGGAACTTTAGTCATGGACCAGGTCCTCATTGTGCTGAGTGTTGTAAAAACAGAACAAAAAGACAGTTCTTGCCTCAAAGAACTTACCATCAAAGTAATAAATGAAACAACAGGTGGATACAGGTTGATAGAAACAAATGAGGGGAGTATAAATAAACAGGGAGACAGTACGAGCAAGCATGATAGGTTGTGTTCTCTGCATACCGACAGGCTAAATGTTGTCAAGCTTTTTCTAGGCATCACAGCACACTCGGATTGTGAAGGAGGATAATGAGTTAGTTTTGCAGGTGTTTACAGGGAGCTCTTCCCAATTCTCAGGGGCAGCATAGGAGAAAGTACAAAAGTACTTTTTTGAAAATTGAACAAGTGGGAGATAGGCACTGTCGTCATAGGCCAGTCAAAGGCGGGAGTCAACATCTTGATAGCGAATGAAAGATGATTGGATGGGTAAGTAGTTTGATTTAATAGAGAAAAGGGAACAAGTTAAGTGGTGCAAAGAGAGGGGTGATATGGTCAAAGCACCAGGCTAGGACAGTTATCTTTACAGCAGCATTCTGCATGGATATGAATGGGGGCAAGATTGCATTTATCAAGGCCAGAGAATAGGATGTTGCAGTAATTTCACCAGGCAGGTGAAAGCCTGGATCAGAGTGTTAGTTGTGGATGAATGGGAAAGGCCATGTCTTACAGATCTTAGATAGAAAGAATCAGCAAGGTTTAGACATAGCCTGAATATGAGGACATAGAGGGAGGTCCAAGTGGAAGATGATACTCAAGTTATGGGCTTAAAGTGGCATGGTGGTGGTATCCATAGTGATTGAGAAAGGAGGTAATGGGGAGAGCTTGATGGAGAAGATCAAGAGCTCTGTTTTAGCCATGTTAAGCTTCAGCTAGCAGCTAGATGTCCACAAGAAGATGTCAGAGAATGTTAGCAAAGAGTTAATTTTTAAAATGTGTTATAACGGCAGAGATGATCCCTATGATAACTATGTTCTGGCAAAAATATATAGGAGTCAAGCATAAGGAAGAAGTAGGGAGTGAGTGTAGTGTTTCATGAGGTTTTGTATATTGGAGCTGTGAAGATACTTTTAAAAACAGCAAAGAATCTTGAATTGTGGATGAGAGACTGTGGAAAGAAAGATTTCAAAGCAGAGATTAAACAGTTTTTTCCAGTTTTAAAGCATGGTGTTTGGTCAGATATTAGAACTGCAAACAAGAATCCTTCCTGTGTACCAGTGATCCTGAATTGATGACTCAGACTTTTTTGAGCTGCTGAGGAATGAAGGCAGGCTTCAGTTTAATCATGACAAAAATCACCATTATATATAAAAAGAAAAGGAGTACTTGTGGCACCTTAGAGACTAACCAATTTATTTGAGCATAAGCTTTCGTGAGCTACAGCTCACTTCATCGGATGCATGCAGTGGAAAATACAGTGGGGAGATTTTATATACACAGAGAACATGAAACAATGGGTGTTACCATACACACTGTAACTAGAGTGATCAGGTAAGTTGAAAGAAAAGGAGTACTTGTGGCACCTTAGAGACTAACCAATTTATTTGAGCATAAGCTTTCGTGAGCTACAGCTCACTTCATCGGATGCATACTGTGGAAAATACATAAGATGGTTTTATACACACAAACCATGAAAAAATGGGTGTTTATCACTACAAAAGGTTTTCTCTCCCTCCACCCCACTCTCCTGCTGGTAATAGCTTATCTAAAGTGATCACTCTCTTTACAATGTGTATGATAATCAAGGTGGGCCATTTCCAGCACAAATCCAGGTTTTCTCCCACCCTCCACAACAAACACCCATTTTTTCATGGTTTGTGTGTATAAAAACAATGTTGTTGCTCGCACGTTCTTGTCAACTACTGGAAATGGCCCACTTTGATTATCACTACAAAAGCATTTTGTTTTGTTTTGTTTTCTCTCTCCTGCTGGTAATAGCTCACCTTACCTGATCACTTTCATTACAGTGTGTATGGTAACACCCATTGTTTCATGTTCTCTGTGTATATAAAATCTCCCCACTGTATTTTCCACTGCATTCATCCGATGAAGTGCGCTGTAGCTCACGAAAGCTTATGCTCAAATAAATTTTAGTGTCTAAGGTACACAAGTACTCCTTTTCTTTTTGCGGATACAGACTAACACGGCTGCTACTCTGGAACCTGTCATTATAAACTCCTTCTAGCAGTTTCAGAATAACGTGCAGGGGTCTTTTCTGATTTCTGGATTATATAGTGATAATATATTAATTTTACTGTAAAGTGTCATGCTTAAATAACTTGAAAAATAACATTTGAATTTATGAGATTTGTGCTTTTATTTCAGGTTTGCAGATTTTATCAGGGGCATGCTGAAACTTATACTTCTGCTGCTGCTATTTGGCGCGACACTGGCATCCACCTGGTTCACTCTCACCTGCCTTACTAGTGTCACTCACCTGCCTTTAACCACAGGTACCTAGAACAATGTTTAACCGTAAAAGAGATTTTTATTGTTCTTTGGGACTGTTTTATAAACAACTGATACTGTAGGCAAATATTTTCTATCTTAATTAAACTATATTATGATCTGTTTTGAGAACCCAATCCTGATGATAAATACATTAAATACAATAATCTGAGTTTTCATCCAGTAATTTAGAACGATGGACAAAAAAAGGATTTAAAGCTCATTAAATAAAAATGTCTTTGAACAGCTTTTAAAAGCATGATAAAAGAATTAAAAACTTTGACTAAAGGAACATAATTATTTTAATCCAGAGTATTAATTAGTATGTTTTTGGGGAATAGCTGTGGTTCTGAATAAAACAGTGATGGTGATATTATGAGTGTATGGTAGTGGTGAATATATAGAGGAAAAATGGCAAGTTTGGGAATTTAGAATTCAAAAGATTTCATAAATCAGTAAAAATTAACTAAAACCTTGAACTAATTAATCCAGTGGAACCCAAATTGTGTGGCGTGTCCCCCATTCTTCATCACATGTGAAAAAATGGACTAGCAGCTTTTACTTTTTGTGCTTGTCTGTTCACACCTACAGAAAGGTAACTGTACAAAAATTTTGTTCTCTAAATTAATGCAGTGAACCAATCTTATAAGTGTCCCGTCCCTGCCTACAGATGAGAACAAAGCAGACCACTTTCTGTAGGTGAAATTAATTACATACACGGTAATCTAAAACAGAAGTGGTATATCGATTTTTGCTTACCAGCCTTTAGTTTCCCATTTTGGGCATAAGCTGCACACTATATAGGATCCTTGAGAAATAAAGTAGCCTCCTTATCTCTTTTTGTTTACCCAACATACAGCTGCAGGACTGTAAAATGAGGGGGAGGAAAGAACTATTGGATTGTAAAAAAAAACAAAAACAAAACTTAAAATTAAATAGAACTTAAATTGACAGTTGTGTATTCTCAAGCAAGAACTAGTAATGTTAGTGCCCTCCCACAATTACTCTGTTTAAAAATTAAATTAATGAAGATTTGGAAAGGAGTTTTTGTAGGCAAATGAGAAGATATAAAGCAACATGCAAGTACACAATAACTTCTAAAATGTTACTTTTTGTGGGTAGAATTGGCTCAAGAAACAGTCAGTCAGTGATTGTCAGTGTGGCTCTTTTTGTGATTGACTAATGATTGCTAGACTATAATGTGTTTATTGGAGAGCATGTCTTCTCTGGGACACTGGTAGGCTTTTGTAATTTGCAGGTGGATTCTTGTACCTGAAATGGGACTCGTGGTAAGCTATCCTGATGGGTAAACTGAAAGGAACCAGATTAATTTGATGGGAAGGTAAAAATACAGAGCAACAGATTTAACAACATTTCTTAATTTTAGTCTGCTTTGTATGCCACAAAGTGCATTAGTAATAATGACATTAACATAGCACTTTTCCTCTTCAAAGTGCTTTACAAAGATTGAATCTAATTTTGAGTGAAGCATCAATGCATGAATATGATAGATCCCATCTCTCTGTGCATGCCTCTGGTTGAATTTTTGTGGGTAAAATATGTTGGCTTACACACACCAGGGATAGTGCATATATACATAGAAAATTACACAAGTGGAGGCCACATACAATCTGACTATCTACATTTCATAGGAAAAAGAGGCTAAAGTTAAATGATTTTTCCAAGGCCCCAGGAGGAGTTAGAGTTGTAGCTATGATTATTATATTAAATCTCAGCCCTTATTTTTTTTAAAGATTCATTATAAGTTTTTTTTGAAAGACCTGACTAATCAGTGCCCTTACTTTTATATGATATACTAAAGAAGGTGTCTTTAGCAACACAGTAGCCTCAATCATCATGCTGGGGTACTGGATCAATGCTGAATCTGAGGTGAAAGATTACGACCACTGAGTCACCATCAGTACTGTACTATTTGTAGCAGAATTCCAGATTCCTTTCTCCTTAAATGGGGCTTCTGATCCTGGGCTGCAGGATTGTTGTAAATCCTTCCTTTATGATCAGGTGCATTTGGGAGTTATTTTTTTAAAAGTCATGAGGAAGGTCACACTATTACCTTTTATAGCAGGAATTTTGGCGTCTCTGTCTCCATCTTAGTTTTTGTCTTTCTGTGCCTTGTTTCCTTCCCACTTAAAGGTGTTTGGCAAATGTTACATTGTAACTCATGTTAAAATATATTGGAAAGCATTTTGCCACTTCTGTGTATTTCATGGACTCTCCTGGAAACTTTTTAAAAAGATTGTTTGGATGATTTTGTGCTGACCATTGTTGAATAGCTGGTAGAGCTAAAAGGAGCTTGACAAAATTAGAACCCAGTCTTCCAAGATGATGAGCACCTCCGGTGAGGTGGAAAATTACTTCAACTCGTGATAACTTCAGCAGTGTCCAGAGTAGACAGTAATGTTACTGTAGCACTTCAGTGCAATAAGCTTTCCTTTAAAAGCTTTTCTTACCTCATTCCTGTGTACAAGTACATATTTTAGGATTTGGCATGAAATCTCCTAAATCAGTGTGTAGTTAAAGGTTAGATTCTTCTTTTTAATCTGATTGTTTAGAGCTCAGTTTAAAATAGATGTATTGTTATTGCCTTCATAATAAGCAGTCCCTTAAATTTGGTTTTTGTAAAGTACCCAAATAAAACTATTCCTTTCCTGTGGTAGATTTTCTATCTGTTTTCTGTGTAAGTTATTTTAATGAGCACATCACTGTAGTATCTGAGCACTTTTTTAAGAAAACCTTGCCTTGAATAGCAGTGCTAGCTGTAATGAGTACTGGCAAATCTTTAAAAGGGGATATTAAGGATTTAGGCCCTAATTTATATCTGCTGTACAAGATTTATTTTTCCTCCTGCCCAACTTCCCAATTTCTTTACTAGACGGGCATTTCTTTTTATAAGCAGCTCTTTTTTGTAAAAAGTAATAGAAAATAAATGCAATATGCCTGTTTAATGTAGGTCTTTGTATATTGAATACCAGTAATACATCTTTATAAAATACATTCTTATGGATGAAAATGCACAAGCTATTTAAAGTACTAATTTATAGGGCTTCATGCAGATTATTCCTAAGTGTAATGATGCAGTATGCTTATGACCGCTGCGCTTCACAGTAAGTGGGAGAAACAGCACATTTAAATTGATTTGGTTGAACTTTTTTGTTTAATTAAAAGTTGGAGGGTATAGACTATAACTGAGCCAAAGTATAGAAGGTCGAATGCAGGCCACTGCCTAGTGGCACTTGGGCTTTGGGGAAGGATTGTGAGATGACTATTTAATGTGGAAGCATCTCTGTGTGCTCAGTCAGTGGAGCAACACTGACACTGGAGGTCAAGGATGTTGTTTGCGCTTTTTTATGTTTGTAAGATGAGCACTATGTATAGCTGCAACAATTTATTAGTATTTTTTGTAACAATTACTATCATTCCTGTATTACTGTGGGGTTTTTAAGGCAAAGAGATCAAGGTCCAAAATAATTTTTGCAGAAGCTAGCATAAATGTGCAGTGGTACCTGTAGAGGAGTTCTCTGCTCCCTACACAGGTTTCTCTTCCAGGATTTGTATGTTCACTTCCACTCCACTCCTTCTCGAAGAGCTTCAGTGGTATCAAATTTTTTTTCCTGGGTGCCTCATCTGCTCATTAGCATATGCAAACATCTTTCTCATAAGCAAATAGGCCCTACACCTGCAAAAACACAAGCATGATAGGTTGCAGCAACATCTTGAAACTGCCCAGATATCAGGATGGGCTCATCTGATGTTGCTGGTCTGAGCAATCAGGAGGTGAGCTGTTCCAAAAGGAAAGTCAGCTACTTGGATGAGGAAGCAAACCTCATGGATCAGAATATTATGGAGGATGAGCCAGGTACCTGTGGAAGGCTACTCCCATGAGAGGAATGCTATTCAGAAGGAGAAGGTGTGTGTTTGGTAGTGTCTACCAGATTCAATGGTGTGAGTAGTCAGGGGGACTGTGGAAGCAATCAAGAAGCAGTCAACTGAGTGATGTTTCGTGGCCTATGATATGCAGGTCAGACTAGGGTGATCTGGTGGTCCCTTTTTGCCTTAAACTCTGTGGCTTTAAGTGGGGGCCTTTGAGTGGCATGCAGTATACATGCTGGCCACTGAAAGGTCAGCTAGAGGAGGGTCAGCAACTCAATGTGAGCAAGAGCAGCGGCTGAATCAGCAGGCATCCTGGGTGGCTCAGACAATTGTATGTGAAACCATCAATGAGATTAGTGCTCTGGCACAGTTGAGCAGCCAGAGGGTATCACAAATAAACAGTTTTGTGTGTTGAACTCTCTGAAGTGTAGTGAATCAACCAGCTGCTAGTGAGAGGCAGATTAGAGCAGAGGTGCTGGCTTCTTCCTTGCCCTGCGGATGCTCAACCACCGCTCTGCCCCAGGCCCCACTCAGCCCCTTCCCTGCCTCTTCCCGCCAAGTTACTCCCTCGAGTGCACCACATCCCTGCTCCTCTCCCTCCCACCAGTGCCTCCTGCATGCTGCAGAACAGCTTATTGTGGCAGGCGGGAGGTGCTGGGAGGGAGGGGGAAGAGTTGATCAGTGGGGCTGCCGGTGGATGGGAGGCACTGTGGGATAGGGGGGAGATCTGGCTGCCGGTGGGTGTTAATCACCCACTGATTTTTTTCCATGGGTCTTCCAGGGTTGGAGCACCCATGGAGTTGGCACCTGTGGATTAGAGACCACCTATGCCAATGCGTTCTCAAGTTGCACCTGCTTGGTTTGTGAATAAATTGTGTGCCCTTGCCTTATCAGATCCTACCTCAATTCTGCAAATAGTCTATTCCTGAAGCTGTGCCCATCCTGAAATGCCCATACACTCTGCAGTTCACAAAGTTAGCCACCTACTCTGAAAAATCTCTGCTCATCTCCCATTGGCCTTCCAAAATAAGTACTCAGATGACTATATTTGTGTACCAAGTTTTTGAAAATTTAGTCCCAAACTGCTTGGCCAGCCCAACACCAGGGAATTGAT